CATGGAAAAGGATGTTTAGTATCTATTGCTTTAAAATTGTCATGGGCTAGAACCTGAGTTATCATGACTGTATCTACAGTGGTGCCCTGCTTGATGTTAATCCGTTCCATTAAAATCGCTGTTAAGCGATATCGTCGTCAAGCAAAAGGAAAAACCCATTGAAATGCATTGAAAACCAGTTCAATGCGTTCCAATGGGCGAAATACCTCATCATCCAGTGAAGATCCTCCATAGGGGAAGCCATTTTCAATCTCTGTCTTCCAGAAATAGGTTTGGAAAACAGCGGGCAGCCATTTTGAAAACCTGACGACCAGCTGTTTTTGATTGTTGTGAAGCGAAAAATTGGTTCCTGAAGCAGGGAACCGATCATCGTGAAGCAGATTTTCCCCATTGAAACATCGTTTTGCAATCGCAATAGTGATCACAAAAACCTCATTGTTAAGTGATTTCGACGTCTACCAGGGTAATCGTCAAGCGGGGCACCACTGTACTTGAAATGCAATTGTGCTTGAAAACATACAGAAGCATTTTGCATACGCATTCTGTACCAGTAATACATTTTACCCTACAAAATCATTCATCATTCTTATTTCCATACTAGGAAGATAGGAAGCATAGGTAGGAACATAGGAGTCACACAATTGATGGCTAAGGAAAAAAAAAGAGAAGAAGATGCAGGGCAAGACATGTGGCCCTCACAGCTCTATCCTCCAATATTTCACTGTCAGTTTCTTCAGCTTTCTGTTGATAGGGCCAGCCTGAAGTACAGTCTTTACTGTCAAGCCTGACTGTATCTGATCTCATCTGACTTCAAAAGCCAGGCAGGGTAGATAGAGCCAGGTTAGTACTAGTGGTGATGGCTTTAGGGAGTTGCAGTCCAAGAACACCTGGGTTACCAGGGACCACTTCAGTGCAGCAATACAAGGTTTGAGATGAGGCTTTCTCAAACTTTTCTGGAAATGAAGATGGAAAGTTGAAGGTGCATATGTCTAAACACCTCGTGAACTTGTGAGGGGTGCTGCGTGCAGTTTGTAATTGAATGCATATTGTACAGTATGTAGAAATTTGCACCTTAGCCAGGCTGGACTAAGTTTTATTCAGTTTACCTTATTTTATTTGGTTTATCTTAAAAATATTACCAACAGAATTGTAAGCCAGACTTTAGACTGTTCTCCATCTTCACAAAACATAAATTTTGTCCTAAAAAGAGTGATTCATCATGTGTTCTGCTTATTGATTTTGATGTATGTGCCAGGCAGAATGATTCTGACTGCTTAGAACTAAATGAGAGAAAAATCAAGGTTATTTTATTACTGAGATTGAATTTTTAAAATTGCTAGAAAAAGCAGTAAATCCCACATGTATTGCCAAGTTGTACTAGATGCGTCTGCAGGTTATTGCATTGTGTATATTAAACAATTTCATGTTCATCCAATTTTACCATATGGAAGAGATTAAGCATAGTGATTCTGAATTAACGTCTAGTTCAGTTATTCAGCAAAGTTAAGCACACACCCCAGTTCATTTATAAATATAATAATTTTCTTTTAATGGTTTGAATAGTGATGTGTGTTAAAAGAATGAGAGCATATGAAAATTATTATAATTTGCAAGTCTTCAAGCTATAAATCTGTTAAAAGAAGTCTCCGTGAGGGATTTTACTGTGCCTTCTTGGCAGCAGCAGTTTTTATAAAATATGAGCACAATTTACTGAGCGCTTTCCCTGCATAAAGTTTCATTGAAATGAAATGGTAGTTGCATCATGGTTAATGTCTACACTCTTCTTGTAGAAATTGTGTTATTGTACATCCTCCATTCATTTTAATGGAGCATTAAAGCTGGTCTCCCTAGTGAGCTGTTAACAGCTTTCACTTACCCAAAGTGGACGGAGGTCTCCTTCCCTGTAAGAAACACAAATTCAAGTACATATTGGTTTTTCAGTGTTCCAAATGATTAGTTTTGTGGATCTTTACGCAGGCAGGCTGAAGACTAACTATGGCACAATAAATTTTAAATATGCTTTGGGATCTCTTGATAAAGTATCCTGTATTAAACGGGAACAACATTTATATTTCATCGATACGTAGTTGTCAACTTTGAGCAGGAGGTATTCCAGAAATAAGTGTACAAATGTTTCCTCCGTGCCTCATTTAAACAATAGTGTGCTTTTCATCAATGTCATTGTGGAACCAACCCTACCATTACAGTAAGGCAGCCATCTTAGGCAGTTGATGCTGAGAACTTGGAGACAGTGATAAGATGCCAGACTACAAAGCTTTGTGACTGCTGCACAACTTGCTCTGCGTCCACTAAGCTAGTTTTCTATTTCAGGTGTGGTAGTAGGTTTCATCCAATAACTTCTGCTTAAGTAATTTTTGACTATTACTCTGGTTGACTTCTGTGTGTGGGATGAAAGGGAGAGGATATCAATTCATCCTTTACCTCTGGAAACAAAATATTTTTGGCTGGTCGTACTGCCTGGAGGGTTGTGGGATTTATAGTAAAACAACAACAACAACAACAACAATGTTTATAAGCTGTGAATGTTTGAAATCTTGCCTGGTGTGTTCTATCTGTTAATAACAGTCTACAAAAGCAAAACTAGAGGTTCAATGCCTGTTCCCTGCAATTAGCCTGTTTTTTCTTCCACAGTGCCCTTTCCAAAGAAATATGTGCCTTGACTTGCACAATAAGCTCTTGTTTACCTTTTGTGGTTAAAAACAAAAAACAAAGCAAAGTCTGCTGCTTATATGTGACCTCAAAGTACTTAAAGCACTCTCTGAGTGGTTTACAATAGAATTATACAAGCGACACATTGACCCCACCACCCACCCAGTGAGCTGAATACTCAATTTATTGACCTTGGAAGGATGGAAGGCTGTGTCATAGGCCTTATGCACCATCCCACCATTACCTAAGCCCATCGCAACCGAACTCAGGTTGTGTGTAGAGTCTTGATTGTGATACTGCAGGTTAACCATTATGCCATGAGGCTCTCAAAACAAAGGATGCTAAATGCAAAACACCAGGCTGAGCGAAATCTTGTGGTGTGGCAGAGCTTTTCCATCACTGAAGCAAGCATCTCTTCTAAAAGCATGCCAAGCAGGCGATTTAGTTTGACCCTGACATAGCTGTGCAGAATGACTAGGCCTGAGATTATCTTCTAGACTTGCCCGTTCGGTCTTTGTGTTCTCTCACTGCTGCCATTAAACACCCATGCAACTACCATAGCTGGTAACAGATGCTGTGCTGTACTCAGTAAAAGCCCTGTTTCGCTAGTAATTACATGTAGTGTCTGGAAGTCAATCTTCAAAAGCCATCATTAAGGCATAATATCACATTAAAGAGTACCAGAATATTTCAAAAGCATTAATTTGGTTTCCATTGCTGAAGCTTCTTTTCTAATACTGTAGGCCATCATGGAATTGCTGTCAGTACAGTGATTAAATATCTGGCGATGTAATGTTCCAGTAGGAGGAGGGATGCCAACTGACCCAGACATGAAAAATAGACAGATTTAATTTGCACATTTCCCTCTGCATCCTCCCTCTGCTGCTCAATTTCCACATCAAGCCACACACACACACCCAGCTTTGAGTATCACCACCTACCCTTTGGGTCCTCTTGGTGCCCCTCATGTCTTTATTAACTCATCACCTGAAACCACACTGAAGTGACAGCACTTCTACATACACCCCCACACTCTTGTGTTGACCCTGAGAAGCAAATGAGTGGTCCTCAAATAGCTGCTCTTACCTTAAGGGATGGCCATTACAAAAAAAACAACAACAAAAAAAACAGTACACTTCACTCTTAACAGGTGATTTCCCCCCTCTAAAAATATGGGGGCTGGGAGGTGAATGGGAATCTGTTGCTGGTAGTTTCAGGGACACTGTTTGCTGCCTGCTGCCCTACATAGTACAGGCCATATGTGCTCAGGACAGATGTGAGCACTAAATTACTGTGCTGGCAGAAAGGTGGTTGACAAGAAATTGTTTCCCACCATTTTCTAAATAAATAAGCCAACCAATAAACAAACAACCAGAGATGAGAGAAATAATATTGACAAAATCCTTTGTTCTCTCTCCGAAACACATTTCTTTGAGAGGCAGCCAGCCTTGTGTTTTCAAAAATGTTGAGTGCTCATTCGTTCTTCATCCCTATATGTACTGTTGTTGTTCCCTGCCATCAAGTTCCTTCCAACTTTGATGGTGATCCTGCTATGGTTTTTGAGTTATGTGAGATGTTCAAGGAGTGGTTTACCAGTGCTACCTTCCAGAGTTTCCATGATCAAGTGAGGATTTGAACCAAGGGCTCACTATAATACATTGGCTCTTTTATGTATTGTTAGGTGTAGCGTAAATATCTGCACATCTACCAATTGCTCATTTCACCTCCAATCTTCATTTAGAGATTGGGGGCAAAATGATGTAATTTTATGGTAATAAAATATAATCCAATTTTTTCGGCTTTTCTGTTTCTTTTCTGGTAAAATGTAGCTTTATGAAAAGTGGCAGGGCGATTCCTGACCTTTTTGCTAGATTAAGTGTAGTATCTATTCTTATCAGTTCAATATCAGAAATGTCCTCCGCTTGAATGCTATTAAATGAAGACTTATGTAGATGTTTTTTTCATGGGGCCAATAGTTATTAATAAAAATAACTGCTTATGTTAAATTGGTAAATGGGAATTTATTCCCATTCATGCCCTTTTGTGCAACCAACTAATTAAAAAAAAAACCATTGAAATGTCACTTTAGGAAACCCTTGAAAGTTTTCATCTTAGTGGCTTGATCCAGAGATCTCAATTGCTTACTTAGAGCTCTTTTAAATTGTAATAGCCTGTCCAAGCTATTCCTCTGATGAACAGAGAATAGTATTCTCATGTGTGCAAGAACTTCCCGTGAATATCAAATACATATGTAGAACACTGAACAGAGCCCCTAGTCTGTTTTCCCCTCAGTTGAGTAAGTCTTACAATTTTCTCTTTTACATTTGCAGCGCAAGGCTGTGATTGTATTTGGCTTCGTGGTGGCATTTCTGCTTCTGATCATTGTCCGCCTTACAAATGAATTTGACTTTCCTCTGCTGCTCAACTGCTTTGGAGAAGCCACTGTCAAATGGATGCCATTTTCTTATATACAGAGACGACCTCTAAGGACACACTATGGCTATATTAATGTGAGAACACAAGAGGTAAGCATTCATATCAAAGCATATTTAATATAGAAAATGCACTGGCTGGAATCTAGCAGAAAACATATGCCAGTATAAGTCAGTTGATGTAAATTTTAGTCGTGAATTGCTTCAAGTTAAGAAGTTAGCATAGGTGTGTTTGCTCTTGCATGCTGAGTCATGCAACTAAAATATGACAGCAAATGGCTACATCAGCTTCTTACGTTGTGGCAATTCACACTGAGATTTATGCCAACACACTTAAGCCGGCTGGCATAGGTCATAGTCAACTGTACAACTGGAAAGTGGGAAGGCCTATGTAGTATAGCTGTATTTTTTAAATGATAAGTAATTGATCTAATTATTGTATACTGTACATCTTTTGCTCTCGTTAGATGATTTTGCCCTCCTGGACCCTGCTGTGCACCACATAGATTCCCCACCACCGTTGTCAGTATTTCCCTCCATCTGCAGGTCTTTCCTCAAATTTCATGTTAAACATGGCTTGTAGGGAGTGTGCATCTTCTTTTAGAGGAGAATCATGCTTCCTGGGGGCTTCTTTGCTAAAGCGAAACATGGAGTCCTTGTATGACTTATTTAAAATTCTTCTTTTTTAAAAAAAATGGTGGGATGATGCATAAGGCCTATGGTCTTGTGAAGCCCTCCCTCGTTGAAAAAAAAGCTGTAGGAGCTTTAGCCATTTTCACTGAAGACAAGAGGAATAGGTAAACAAACAGTAAAATTGTTTCAGATACTGTCAAACAGCAAGAAAAAATTGTGGTTTTTTTCCCCTGAATTCACTGGGAACTTATTATTTTACTTTTTTGGGGGGAGGTTAAGTTGGCCTTTCTTCAACAAATGCAACTTCTTCATAAACACATAGAATTAAAATGTTCTCAGCCATGTTTAGTACAAACTGCATTGAGTGGAAAAACAAGTCTTGGCTACTTGGCTAACTTTCTTTATGGCTCTTAACGGATCTGTTGTTCTCCTTAGTCTCTTGGAGTTGTCGCTATAGCAACAGTTATAAGAGAACATTTAGCTGGAGATTCTCTTGAAGTCATTTAGTGCTGCATCTGCTTTGGATTTGGGGTTTTGCAGGTTGGAATATAGGGTTATTTCAGAGTTTTATTAGATTTAAATTGTTAAACTTTTCTAAGATCTAGCATAAACTTAAAGAGATGGAGAGGTACAGTTCAGTTGGATACAATCCTGTACACATTCCAGCATAAAATCACAACACATTTCTTGTGTGTGTCTACTCAGACATACGTCCCTTTAACTATTACTGCACTTACTCCCAAGTAATAGCATACAGGATTACAGCTCTAATCTTCAAGTTAGGAATGTGACTTTTAAAAGACTGTTCTGAATGCCTAATTTTAGCTGATGTACTGAAGGTATTTTAATTAGTAGCCCTAATTAATTACTTAACCTCTGTCACCCTCTTAATTAATCTGGATGAAATATGTGCAGTGAAATAAACAGAAGAAAAATCAGTTGCAACAATTAGTTCTACAGGATTTTAAGGATAAATTGTATAGGAGAGTTCATGTGAACTTCTGTAATTTAAAAAAAACTTATATATGCTGAAGTAGAATCTTTGTTACTGTTTTTGTTTCATACACCGTCATGGAGGTTTCTAAACCAAGCTCAGATTCTGTCTTACCTTCCTTTAAGCATGGGAATCAAGGCCAAACACCAGTGGCTCCCAAATGGTTCTCCATCTAGTCATGAACCCAGATCAAGACTGCAGTACTGTGTGCTCTCAGACCAGGATGTGGCCAAGGTATATACAGTATCTGGATTTGGGATATGGATGTGGCTAGGAATGGGAAAGTCAATCTTTTCCTTACTGCTCTGGTTAAATCTTAAATTGCAGCCTTGGAGTTTTTCTCTATCACAATAATTGCTTAGCTGTGCAAAATATAAGTAAAATTCTGCACACTTTCTCTTTAAATCAAAAGGAAAAGAAATGAAAAATATCTAAGGTATCAGAGTTTGGGATGTTTCACTTAATCATATATATATACCCAAATTCTCTTATACAATATACCTCGGCCAGCCCAGGAGAGTGTTATCTCTGCTAGAAGCTAATTAAAGAATTCCTGTTTCAAATTTGGGTTGTGTGTGACTATTTTCATTACATATTTGTTGTGCCTCACTTGAAGCTGAAGGAGAAAACTTTACTTAGAAGCAATCTGCTGCTCCCATTGATCTCACTCCTGCTATGCTAGGATACTGGCCATAAACTATAATTTAATCTCATAGTTCTTTGTCATGTCCAGGAAGCACAGGGTGAATAAATGTATTTCTTTTCTCGTGACCTTATTCTATATGATTTTTATAATTTTCCTCCTACTCCAAGATTGTTTTTTCTTGCCACAACTCTTGATTCTCTTGTTTTGCTTTTGCTTTTACTCCCCATTTATTGTTTCAATTTTGTAAAGTCTTGTTTATTGATCTATTGATCAATTCTTCTTCCATACCATAATTTTCTCTCTGCCTAGAAAACATTACAATTAGGTGGGATTATTGTCTCCAACACCTAATATGTTAGAAGTATCTTTTTGGAAATGGTAGATTTTTTTTATAACAGTGTAATCCTAAATCAAAGATCCACTGGTTGCATTGGGCTTGGCATGCACAGAAGCCATGTGTCTCAGCACAATAGCCCTTGGGTGACAGAACTCATTTGCATTGACTGATCTCAGCGATTGACAAACCAGAAGACAAGGCAAAGAGGGGATTGGGTGAGGGAGGAGCTGCATTATGGGAGTCCGAACCTCCTATGGCCACTATAGTAGTACAAAGTTAGGCCACAATAGTTTCTAGCATCCTAGGCTTCAATACAGGTTCAACTAGCTGACTCAGCTGTCAGCCATCTTGCTTCGTTAGGAGAGCATCCCAACACGAATGTTTCAACATGGAGGCATTAGCAATTCTTGCTCTGTTATTCTTTTTTTATAGCTACATAAATTTGGACACAAAAACGAAATTATTCTCCCAGACCAAGTCAAAATGCCAAATCCTTTTTTGTATTCTGAAAATTAGGAAATGGACAGGGGGGTGGGGGGGAAAGACTTTTTTTAAAATGACACGTAGATCTTGGTGGCATCTCATATTGAATTTACTGACATATTATGAGGGACTGCTTATTTTCCTTTATAGGATTATTCAATAGGATGTACTGCCAGTGGTCTTCATCAAGCACACAGGGTGTAAATTCCAAATAGTTCAAAAATTAGGCCAGATGTGATGCTCATGGTTCTTAAACCAGACTGCCAACAGAACAAGATGGAGTTTGCAGATTCCAAGTGACACCGAGGTGTCAAACGTACTGATTTACAGTCTGCTTATATGTAGGCCAAAATGCTGTTGCACAGTTCTGTTGTATCATCAGTGGCATTTTGCCACCGGCTAAAGTCATATCGCTGCCAATTAAAGGCCAGTTTGAGGTTCACAAACTGCTATGTACCTTCGCATAATTCTGCTTTAAGCCTACGAGGAGGTGATGGATAGATCTGCAAGGTCAGTAGTCCATTGTTTGCACTGAATTCTGGATGGAGCTTACCTTGCCTCTTAGGGGTTTTTTGTCATTCAATAAAGTTATTGCCTAACGCAGAACATTTTTTCTCTGGACAGACTGCATGGCTGCTTTTTTTTTTTTAACTTGCACAATAAACCTTTCAGTTCCTGGGTGCCAAAAGTCTCCTTTTTAAACTGCAGTTTTGTATCCTGTTGTCTTGATCCCATCCTAGATGTAACATTTTTTTCTTACTTTAGTTGTCTTTTTTCCTTAAGGCAATTTTTAATTTTCAGTACCTCATCCTCTGAACAGTGAATTGTTCTTCTAGCTGCAGTTCTTCAAAGAGCTATGCAAGCCTACCTACGCTTCAACATCCCCAGATCTTGTAATGAATATCTGTACATATCCTCTTGACTGTGTGATGTTATAAAAGCACAGTATCATATAAAACGGGTTCTAACATGTAAAAACTGCCTGTCAAAAGCTATGTGAACAGCAAAAAGTGTTTAGTGAAATTAATCCTTTGCCTGTATTGAAATGACACCAGTATGACATCCATTTAAAACTCATTAAGAGCATCAAGTCTTATGTTAAGGAAGCTGGAAAAATGAAATTTGTGAGAATTTGAGTGTGTTTACTGGAAGTTTTGTCTGTGGTACATATATTTTATATTCCGCTGTTAGGGCTCGAGTTCCCTTACCCTTCCTCTGCACAGCATCCCACAGTAATGACAGATTTTTCTTTTCTATCTTGCCTGTTTTTTAACTTTTTATGAATTGACATTTTCCAGCATTTTATTTTTCTGTTTTTTATACTGTGTACATTGCTCTGGGACGTACTTTTCAGAATGAAGGGCACTATAAAATTTGATGCCTGCAATATGGAAATAAATAATTCACTTGGAAGACAATCATACGGTGGATTGTTCTACATAAACTTCTCAGAGTAGGATGGTTGCTCAATAAGCTTTGACATACAGCATCCATTAGATGAGAGGTGAAGAAGTATGGTCTTCCAGATACTGTTGGACTGCAAGAGAAGAACTTTTAAAATGTGACCCGGATTGCTCCAAATACTCCTGTTTAGTTGTGTCTAAAAGGGCCCAGCAGAAGAGAAGAGAGGTAGAAGAAGAACCTTCCCCTCCCAGTTCTCCATCCCTAAGCACTTCAAATAGGACTTTGCTTGAAAAGCTAATCAGATGGAAAAAAATGAAAGTAGCCATCTCAACAGTTAAGGCAAATTCTTGGCCTATGGCTATGATGGGAAAAGGGGATAGAACTGAAGATGACAGGAAAAAAATCTTTGAAGTTTTGGTGGCATCTGGTTGGTTTAATCTGATCTATGAGGACTCTTTTTAAAATGTCCCTGTCTTCTTTGAGCCATTTATATACTGCAAGTGCAACAGTGGCTTCACTGAAAGACTGCATGAGGGGTGTACAGTATGAGACATCTCTGCCCATCTGTAGGGCCTTCAACTAACCTGTTGTCATGA